CCCTCCTGTGTTGAATTATTATTATAATCAAAAAGAAGCGCTAAGCCACAAGGGCTATACAGCTCCTGTGTTGAAGGCTCTGCTGAAATAACAGATCTATCCAGGATTGGTCCAGGCGATAAAGACGTCTTGCTCTTGTTCTCTACTCTGTCAAACAGTCGCAGATGAGAGGGGGGGGGGGGAAGCAAAACAAGAAAGTGGAGCATACTCAAGGTGTGAGCGTATTTGTGCCTCATACATAGTCTTGCAACCCCTACTGTCAAGCAGATGCGAGATACGGTGGAGTGCTGTAAGCTTCCTAGCTGCCTTGTTTGCAAGATTTACAACATGGTTCTTCATGGTCAGTTTCACCCCAAGGATATCAACTTTTTCCCCAGGTACCAGCACTCTCCCATTCATTCTTACTAATGCACCGGTATTACCATCATGGTGCCTAGAGACCATCATTTGTGTTTTCTCATGTGCAAATGTTACTTGCCATCTGTTTCCCCAAGCTGATATAGCTCTTAGCTGGCGATTGATGTAGCTTAGAGCAGCTGGTATTTCTTCTTCTGGATAAGTGAATGTCAGTGTACAGTCGTCTGCATATGCATGGGATTCTGGGATGAGATGAAGGTCATTGAAGTAGACATTCCATAAAAATGGTCCCAGCATGCTTCCTTGTGGAACACTTGCCCCAGTTGGATGTCTTGCTGATTCCATACCATAGAGAACTACCCTTAGAGATCTACCATGAAGGTAATCACTGAGGAGACATAACGTAGAGCCTACAATTCTCAGAGCTTGCAATTTTGCTAAGAGGCCCTAATGCCACACCCGGTCGAAAGCACCAGCAATGTCCAGTGCTACCACAGCTGACTTTGGATTCATCCAGTGACTGTTGCCAATTAGTGGAGAGGTTTAACAACAGATCAGCAGCAAAGTAACCTTTCCTGAAGCCATACTGACAGTCACAAAGTAGTGAGTGGTAGTCAAAAACCTCTGTGATTTGTCTTGAGATTATTGTCTCAAGGATCTTGCCAGTGATTGACAGGAGTGACACTGGTCTGTAGTTGCTGATTTCTGCTCTGCTCTTCTTTTTGTGAACAGGGACTACATTTGCCTCTTTCCAGAGAGAGGGCCATTTACACTGTACTAGGCAGTGCTGAAAGATGCGAGTTAGAGGTGCTGCTAGCTGGTCTGCACATCTCGGCAATCTTGGACTCAACTTGTCTGGGTCCTCAGACTCTCCCTCCTCCCCCCCTCTCTCTCTCTCTCTCTCTCTATCTTTCTCTCTTTCTCTCTCTCTCTCTCTCCCTCCCCCTCTCCCTCCCTCACTCCTCCCTATCTCTCCCCCTCTCTCTCCCCCCTCTCTCTCTCTCTCTCTCTCTCTCTCTCTCTCTCTCTCTCTCTCTCTCTCTCTCTTTCTCTCTCCCTTTCTCTCTCTCCCCCTCTGCGTGTGTACTCACCTATTTGTGGAAGCAGGATTCTGGCCCCGCCTCTTCACTGAGCGCTGCTGAGTTCTCTCTCTCCCTGCTCCATGAGCTTTATCATACCTCGTCTTAAAGCTATATATTGTTCCAACTACCACTACGTCACTTGCCAGACTATTCAACTCCCTGACAACTCTATGGCTAAAGAAATACTTCCTTACATCTCTTTCACTCATCTGAGTCCTCAACTTCCAATTGTGACCCCTTGTTTTTGTGTCCCATCTCAGTAACATCCTGTCTTTATCCACCTGTCAATTCCTCGCAGTATTTTGCATGTTGTTATCATGTCTCCCCTAACCCTCCTGTGGTCCAGTGTCATCAGGTCGATTTCCCTTAACCTTTCTTCGTAGGCATTCCCCTTAGTTCTGAAACTAGTCCTGTTGCAAACCATTGCACTTTTTCTATTTTTTTGACGTGCTTGATCAGGTGTGGGTTCCAAACTGGTGCTGCATACTCCAGTATGGGCCTGACGTACACGATGTACAGTCTTTTGAACCATTCCTTACTGAGGTATCGGAACGCTATTCTCAGGTTTCCCAGGCGTCTATATGCTGCAGCAGTTATCTGGTTGATGTGCGCCTCAGGAGTTGTGCCAGGTGTTATACTCACCCCAGGACCCTTTTCATTGAGAAGTTGTCTGGCCCACTAGACTGTGCTCTGTCTGTGATCTTCTTTGCCCTTCCCCAATCTTTATGACTTTGCACTTGGTGGGGTTGAACTCCAGGAGCCAGTTCCTGGACCAGGCCTGCAGTCTGTCTAAATCCCTTTGTAGTTCTGCCTGGTCCTCGTCCGACTGAATTCTCATCAACTTCACATCATTTGCTACCACGGACACTTCAGAGTCTTTTCCTTCTGTCATGTCGTTCACAAATACCAGAAACAGCACCGGTCCTAGAAGTGACCCTTGTGGAACCCTGCTCGTTACAGGCACCCACTGACACCTCGCCACGTACAATGACTCACTGTTCTCTTCCTGACAGCTATTACCTGATTCATTGCAGTGCCTTCCCTGTTATCCCTGCCTGGTCCTCCACTTTTTGTACTAATCGCTTGTGTGCAACTGTGTCAAACGCCTTCTTACAGTCAAAGAAAATGTAATCTACCTACCCCTCTCTCTCTCGTCTTACTGCTGTCACCCTGTCATAGAAACTCCAGAAGGTTTGTAACACAGGATCTCCCGTCCCTGAAACCATGCTGGCTGTCGTTGATAAGCTCATTTCTTTCTAGGTTTTCCATCACTCTTCTGATAATCTTCTCCATGACCTTGCATACTATACATGTCAGTGACACTGGTCTGTAGTTTAATGCTTTGTGTCTGTCTCCTTTCTTAAAAATTGGGACTACATTCCTCAGGTAGTCGCCCTGTTTCGATAGATGTGCTGAAGACTGTTGTTAGTGGTACATATCGTGCCTCTGCTCCCTCTCTCAGGACCCATGGATAGATGTTATCCAGCCCCATCACCTTTGAGGTATCTAGCTCGCTTTGCAGTCTCTTCATTTCTTCCTCGGTTGTATGTAATGTGTCTAACACTTGATTGTGTACCCCACCTCTCCGTCTCTTTGGAGTCCCTTCTGTCTCCTCTGTGAACACCTCTTTGATTCTCATGTTGAGCTCCTCACATACTTCTCAGATGTTGCTTGTGATCTCCACTCCTTCCTTCCTCAGCCTGATTACCTGTTCCTTGACTGTTGTTCTCCTGATGTGGCTGTACAACAGCTTCGGGTCAGATTTTTCTATCTCTGCTATGTCATTTTCGTATTGTCGTTCGCCCTCCCTTTTTACCTGTGCATATTGATTTCTGGCTCTATAAATGCTCTCCTTATTCTCCTTTATCCTTTGCCTTCTATACTTCTCCCATTCTCTAGCACACTTGGTTTTCAACTCCCTTCACCATTGAGTAAACCAAGGGCTCATCTTGGCCTTCTCGTTATTTCTGTTACCCTTGGATATAAACCTCTCCTCAGCTTCCTTGCATATTGTTGTCACATATTCCATCATCTCATTTACTGACTTTCCTTTTCCTGTCAGTTCTCTGTCCCACTGAACCCCGTGCAGGAAATTCTTCATGCCTACATAGTCCCCGTTCTTGTAGTTTGGCTTCATTCGTCCTGCCCTTCCTGCTTCCCTTTCCACTTGTAACTACTATGAATTCAAAGCTCCGAGCCACATGATCACTGGCTCCGAGGGGTCTTGCGCATGTGATGTCCTCAATATCTGCACTACTCAAGGTGAATACTAGGTCCAGTCTCGCTGGTTCATCCTCTTCTCTTTCTCTGGTGGTATCTGTTACAAGTTGGTACATGAGGCTTCTAGTACCACCTCCATCATCTTAGCCCTCCACGTTTCTAGCCCCCATGTGGTTCCACGTTCTCCCACTCAATTTTCTTGTGGTTGAAGTCATCCATAATCAGCAGCTTTGCCTTGCTCAAATGAGCCCTTCTTGCCACTTCAGCCAGTGTGTCAACCACCGCTCTATTACTCTCATCATACTCTTGCCTTGGACTCCTACTGTTCTGTGGTGGGTTATGCATCACTGCAATTACCACCTTGGGACCTCCAGACTAGTGCTCCCATTATGTAATCTCTTGCTTCTCCTCTGTCTCCTCTCTCCACCTCATTAAAATCTCATTGGTTTATGATGAGCAGTTGAACTCCTTCACCCTCTCTGTTCTCTCTGTCTTTCCTCAGGATCGGATATCCCATTGGAAAGATGGCATCTGTGATCATTTCTGTGAGCTTGGTTTCTGTGAGAACTATGATGTCTGGTGATGCCTCTTTGACTCTTTCGTGCCACTCCTACATATTCGTTATTCCATAAGTGTTGTTGTACCATACCTTCAGTTTCCTCTCCAACACTGTGTTTTGAGGGGTCTGTGAGAGTGGGGGACCTGGCAGTGTGCAGTGGTATTCTACAGTATATTGTGGGGTGGGTGCTGTAAGTGTGGATTGTGGTTTGTGTTGGGATAACGTGTTTGGTTGTGAGGTTCTGGGGGAGGTTCTGTGTGCGCTTGTGCTTGTTGCTCTGCTCTGCTCTGGGTGTCCTCTGCTGATTCTGTCCTTGTCTCTCTTCCTAGTCTCTTATGCTTGTGTGTCTTCTTCATCAGCTGCTGTTCTGTTTTTGTTTTGTCTCTGTCTAGGAACACCCTGTTGTATGTGGACGATTCCTTCAGCCGTGGTTTCTCTTGCAGGATCCTGTTTTGTTTGTCTTGAAAATCAGCTTGACCGGCCAATTTCTCCTCTTCAAGTCCCCCCTTATTCTCTGAAAATTTACTATCTCAGTCATGTCTTCCTCGTCTGTGTGTGTGTGTGTGTGTGTGTGTGTGTGCGTGCGTGTGTGCGTGTGCGTGTGCGTGTGTGTGCGTGTGCGTGTGCGTGTGCGTGTGTGTGTGTGTGTGTGTGTGTGTGTGTGTGTGTGTGTGTGTGTGTGTGCGTGTGTGTGTGTGTGTGTGTGTGTGTTGTGTGTGTGTGTGTGTGTGTACATGTTGGTGCTGAGCGTGTGTACACTTGAGAGACTGGGTGAAACTCACCTGTGGAATGTGTAGTGAAGTGGATGGATGAGTTACTAAGAACGGAGGCCAGAAGGAGAGAGGCGCTGAGTATTTTCTCCTGGATACTAGATGAAATAAGGGCAAGAGCCGTCTTTTCCTGCCCCTTTAACTGCGTAGAATTCCAATTATCCAAAACTCTTAATGTGACATTCAAGTACTCCTGTGGGAGGGAAGGATTCTGGGTGTTGAGTGACAGAAGATCACAGGCTTGTGTTGATCCAGTTAACGAAGTATTTACTATGACTAAGACTAATTGTATGTGCAAGAAACATATATATTATTGTAATAACTGAAACCAGTTCACTTTAAAAAATTGGGAAATGTCTGCTGAATGACTGCACACTGATAGAGCAAACAAGAAATGGAGTGGAGTTGCTATATATATTAGAAAATATATAATGATACGTCAGAAACGATTGGAAGGTGGAAGTTAAATACAGAATCTAATTGGCTGCAGTTTCTCGAAGGATATGAAAAGCTAATTTCAATTGTGATTTACAGACCCCTGAGCCTAGATAGTGACTATGGTAAACTTTTTTGGAACGAAATTGCTCAGGCATCTAGAAATTGTGATGCAGTTTCAATGGAAATTTTAACATTATCTAAAGTAATTGGAACAATATGACAAATATTCTAATGACTTCAACAACATGCTCATTGTAGAAGCCAGGTATAGATACTCAAAAATCCTGGAAATAGGAATTAATGAACAATTATATGGATCTCATCACACATTGGATTACTCCTTCATGATAAAGTTGACATGTTTGCCAAGAAGAGTACCCTGAAGGAGAATGTAGAATATAACTTTGGTGTATCTGTGTCATGCATTAGTAATAATGTTAGGAGAGAAGTAAATAATGAAAATGAATGTTATAGGAATGCAGTTAAAAGCCGGAGTAGATCTATAACCCACTATGATGACATGAACGTGTGTTCACTGTCCTAAGCTGTCCGGGAATTAACGCAAGGTGTTACTGAGCACCATGGCCTGCTTTAGCGTTTTGGAATCTCAGGTTAAATTGTTGAAGAAGGAGGTTCCACTTCTTCAGGAGGAAAATGGAAGGCTAAAGCCTCGCCTAGATGGGTTTGGGAGTGAGTGTGAGAAGGTGGGAGCTGGTAAGGAGGAAAAGGTTACCAGCAGTGAGTTGGAGAGTAGCAGCCGCTTTAGGTGGCAAGTGGGTCACAGTTCAGAAGATGTGAAGGTAGGAAATCTATTATCCGTTTTCCAGGATGAGTGTACTTCAGTGGTTAGTGAGGTTAAAGGTACCACTGACTCCCCTGCTAATCAAGATAAGAATATTCTGATTGTAGCAGATTCTCAGGTAAGATACATGGACAGTGCTTTTTGTAACAGAGATAGAAAGGTCAGACAGAGGGTGTGCCTCCCAGGAGCTGGTGTTGGTGACATAATCAGCAGATTAAATAATATTATGTCAGGCAATGTGAACAAGCCCATTATCTGTCTTAGTGCTGGTGGGAATGACTTCAGGAAGGGTAGGAGACAGGAGCCACTGGATAAGTACAGGTCATCCATAGAAGTTGTCAGGTCTAAGGGAGGGATCCCAATCATATGTAGCATCTTGCCAAGAAGGAGAGTGGCCAATGAATGAATGTCTAGGACAATTGGTATAAATTGCTGGCTAGACAGGTACTGCAAGGAACTTGCAATCCCATTCATTGATAACTGGGACAAATTCTATGGCAAGCATTATATGTATGCAAGGGATGGGGTTCATCTCTCTGGGGTTGGAGTGGTTGCATTAGCCAATTCGATTGAGGGGGTCATTGATGACTTGTCAAGGAATTTAAACTGATAGATTATAGAGATATGGGTGTTTTGTGTTGTGGGAAACAATCAGGCTGCAGTATTAGGGTTGAAAACGTCAGATATCACCAGGATACCTCAGGGATATGTTTAAAAGACAACATTCAAAATAAAGTTGCTAGTAAAGGCAAAGCAATTGCTCAACAAAGAGAGACAATAGAGGGCAACGAGTGACTAGCTCCCTTAAGGTTTACTATACAAATAGTAGGAGTTTAAGAAATAAGAGAGATGAGCTAAGATTACTTGCAGAGACCTGGTTCAACTTGAAAGATAGAGAAATGCCTTCTGAATGCAACATACAGGGCTATAAACTATTCAACACTATTAGGGTAAACAGAAAGGGTGGTGGAGTGGCGATGTATGTCAGAGATAATTTAAATTGTTGTGTTAGACAAGATGTAAGATTAGAAACATCGGACACAGAATCTGTTTGGGTACAGTTTCTCGAAGGTCATGAAAAATTTATTTTGGGTGTGATTTATAGATCCCCAAACCTTGATAGTGTGGTAGGCTCCTGTGGGACGAAATTCATAAGGCGTCTAGATATAAAAATGCGTTAATGGGAGATTTTAACTTTAAATAAATTGATTGGAACAATGTGACAGGAACTCATGAGTCTAGAGACTTTCTTGATACGGTTGAAGACTGCTTTTTGAAACAGTCTGTGAGGTTAGTGATGAACTAGGGGAAAGTGATCACAAGTCACTTAGCTTCAATGTATCACGAAATTACCCAGATAACTGCAATCAAGTCACTGTCCCAGATTTCTGCTTGGCTGAAATCATGGGTATGAGAAATTACCTGGTTGGGCTAAATTGGGCTGACCTTACTATGTGTTAGGTAGGTAGGGTTGGTTGCCAATATGACGTATTTCAGAACATAGTGCTGGCTGCCCAGACGACTTTTGTCCCGAGTAGGGAAATTAGAGCTAACGAAAATTATCCAAAATGGATAAACAATAGATTAAAACATCTCATTGGTCAAAAGAGAGGCACACTATTATATAGGCGTATAAAAAGAGGGGAATGGCAGTTAAGAAATCAATATATTCAATTAAAGAGAAAAAAAAGTAATAAAAACAAAAAAGGATTATGAGGCTAAAGTGGCAAGGGATTCGAAGACTAACCCAAAGGGTTCTGTCAGGTACACAGAAGTAAGATTAGGGACATGATAGGCCCACTTAAGAGTAACTCTGGTCAGATCACTGACAGTGATAAGGATATGTGTGAAGTTTTCAATACCTACTTCCTCTCAGTTTTTACTCAGGAAGATACTAGCGAAATTCCAGAAATAATAAATTATGTAGAACAGGACGATAATAAACTATGCACGATTGGGGTAACTAGTGACATGGTCCTCAGGCAAATAGAGAAATTAAAACCTAACAAATCCCCAGGCCCTGATGAACTGTTTGCAAGGGTGTTAAAGGAATGTAAAGAGGAACGTAGCATACCTTTGGCTAATCTTTTCAACATATCACTACAAACTGGCATAGTGCCAGACAAGTGGAAAATGGCAAATGTAATACCTATTTACAACGCAGGTGAGAGGTAATTAGCTTCGAACTATAGACCAATAGTTGATAAATTTATGGAATCAATAATTGCCGAAAAAAATCGTAGCCATCTTGAAAGGCATTAACTGATTAATGAATCTCAGCACGGTTTTACAAAGGGGCGTTCCTGTCTTATGAATTTACTAACTTTCTTCACTAATGTATTTGAGGAGGTACATCATGGTACTGAATGTGATATTGTGTAAATGGACTTCAGTAGGCTTTCGACAGAGTTCCACATCAGAGGCTGTTGAGATAACTTAAGGCACACGGAATAGGAAAATTTTTTTCCTGGGTAGAGGCATGGTTGACAAATAGGCAGCAGAGAGTTTCCATAAATGGGGAGAAATCAGAATAGGGGAAATATCACAGTGTTCCACAGGGGTCAGTGTTGGGCCCCTTGTTGTTCACAATTTATATAAACGACATAGATGAGGGAATAAATAGCAACATAAGCAAATTTGCTGATGACACCAAAATAGGCCGTCCAATTCATTCTAATGAGGACACTAGAGCACTCCAGGATGATTTGAATAGACTGATGCAATGGTCGGAGAAGTGGCAGATGCAGTTTAATATAGACAAATGCAAAGTTCTAAATGTTGGACAGGAAAATAACTATGCCATACATAAATTAAATAATGTAGATCTTAATATTACGGACTGTGAAAAGGATTTAGGAGTTCTGGTTAGCAGTAACCTGAAACCAAGACAACAGTGCATAAGTGTTTGCAATAAAGCTAACAGAATCCTTGGCTTCATAGCAACAATTATAAATAACAGAAGTCCTCAGGTTGTTCTTCAACTCTATATATCTTTGGTTAGGCCTCATTCAGATTATGCTGCGCAGTTTTGGTCACCGTATTACGGAATTGATATAAATGCAGTGGAAAACGTACAAAGGAGGATGACAAAGTTGATCCCATGTATCAGAAATCTTTCCTATGGGGATAGACTGAGGGTCCTGAATCTGCACTCTCTAGAAAGACGTAGAATTAGGGAGGATATGATTGAGGTGCATAAATGGAAAACAGGAATAAATAAAGGGGATGTAAATAGTGTGCTGAAAATATCTAACGTAGACAGGACTCGCAGCAATGGAATTAAATTGGAAAAATTCAGATTCAGGAAGGATATAGGAAAGCACTGGTTTGGTAATAGAGTTGTGGATGAGTGGAACAAACTCCCGAGTACCGTCATAGAAGCTAAAACGTTGTGTAGTGTGGGCGAGTGTGAGTTGGACCTGACTAGCTAGTGCTACTAGGTCGGATGCCGTGCTCCTCCCTTAAGTGACATGTCTGACCTCACTAGGTCAAGGCATTGGCTAAATTATTATAATAAAAAAGAAGCGCTAAGCCACAAGGACTATACAGCGCTGCAGGGCAGGAAGGAAGCGAGGGCATCAGGTGGCAAAAGGGAGATGGATGAGTAATAGGTTACGGATAACAGCGGGGTAGTGGATGGTGAAAGGGTAAAGGGCAGCAAGAGACTGAACTAGAAAGGGCTGAGGGGAGTGCGAAAAGTATCATCAGAGTTTGTGGAGTAAATCAGTCGTTGTCAAGAAGTCAATGAGAGAGTCAGGATTAAAGGAGGGTCCATCAGCAAGAAGGGAAGGTAAAGAGAGAGTAGTAGAACGAAGACGACGTTGGAGGTAAATTCTGCGTGCTCGTTGATAGAGAGGGCAGTCTAACAGAATGTGGCTAATCGATACTGGAACTTGACACTGCTCACAGAGAGGAACAGGGTGCCTCTCCATGAGATACCCATGAGTAAGACG